CTAGAAACAAAGGTTTTCTAATGGCCTATGGTTGTATCGATTTAATGCTTATCCTATATACACATTAAATAAAGAACTAGTAAAACTTTAGCACCGATTTGTTCTTAAAGTATTCTTTAATCAAGCTCAAGCTCTTTTATCTTCTTAATCTATGCTTTTATAAAACACTAGGCTATATTTTGATCAATATTAAGTTATTTATAGAGATACAAGTAATAAATAGATCGAAATTATTTTTATGTGAAATTAAAATGTAAAATTATTTTATGTATTGTATTGTAATGGTGGCATTTTATACGCATCTTTTATCATTTTTATTATATTAAAGGAAGTTTGCGAAGGCGCGTGTATTTTACACCATAAACTAGAATGCTTTTACCCGACTTTATTAATGCTATTATACAAAAGTTGTAGTGCTATTGCACAGCTTTTATAAAGCTTAAAGTCGTACAAAGGGGGGGCCCAAATTTTACGTATAAGAGTCGTTTAAAAGAAATACGGTTGTTATACGATTTTATTATAATGCTTAACGCTTGGACTCGTGCTATTATAAGTTTGATATAATGGTGTTTTGTGCTAGATGGGCACTTTTTGAAAATATTGCTTATCTTTTTAATTAAACCCAAAATAGCAGAGAAAGATTTTCATGAAATGCGCGAAGACACTTTTTTGAGCTCCTAGATTGAGCTACTGTTCTGAACAAATTAAATTTTAATAGTATTCGTCGTAACACTCCAAATAATAACAGCGGTTCGTGTCCCAATATTTCTTTTTTGAAAGACGAAGATTTCATGCCAGTAAGAAAACGAAAAATCCCTGATGGCGAGAATATCCATATGAAGAACATTGCCATGTAATAGCAGCCGCTTTAACCGAGCAGGAACTAAAGGATACGTTACTCGAGTTTCAAAAACAATTTACATCATCATTTGAAAAAGTACTGGATAAGCAAAATAACAGTATTAGAAAACTTCATGATGAGATGTGCAATATTAAGTCGGAAATTACTGACTTAAAGAATCATCACGCTAATGAAAGAGTTCAAACTGAACTCAGAGAAAACATATAAATATTAAGTGACTATTAGTTATAATCATTATCGTTTTTATAAATTTGTATGGGTTAGTGATACTGATATCTAGTTGTATAAAATTTTTTGACAAGGTAAACATACATTTATTTGTGATTGAAGAGCATAAACTTGTTTTAATAGAGCACCAAAAACTTATTGACGTGGATACGTCTATGTTTTCGTTCTACAGGGGGTCATTCTGTGAGCAGGAGTATATGCACTAACGCCATCTATTGGCGAATAAGTGAACTATGCTTGCTCTGCAGGGGGAGGGGCATTCTGTCAGCAGGAGTATATGCACTAACGCCATCTGTCGGCGCTAGTGAATACTTTTTTCATTCAACAAATGAACGCAACGAATATTTATTTATTTAGTGTTTAGTGTCTTCAATTTCTTTATTTTTTTTTTTAATTATTCATTTATAAATGCAATTATGCCACAACGTTGCATAATTCCGGGTTGTTTTGGAGAAGCGAATTGTTCAGTTTTTAGAGTGCCAAAGAACATTGATAGACGTGAAGAGTGGTTAAAAGCTATTGGTGATGTGTTTCCTAACCTGGATGTTGGGGAATTTTTTTTTTATCAATTACTCATATATCCATTCATACATAGACGTATCAACGCATAAAATATGGCTGTATCAATGATACAGCCAACCAGGGTTTTCTATTTATTGTGAAATAAATTCTTTGGGCACTCACTTATACGATGTTTATCCTAAAATTTATATGTTGCGGGTTATTGTGCATTATAAAAATAAAAAGGTGGTACAATATTTTTTTATTATTTTTAGTACCCTATTGTGTACTATTTAATATTTTAAGATGATCTCGGAATATAATTAATCAATTTATTATAAGAACGTGAGGAGCCTGCGCCATCTCATGAGTTTTCGACTAATGTATTAAATAATAATTTGGATATAATTTGCTTAACTGAATCTTGGCTCGATATAAGATATAAAGATGCGCCCGCGACGTTGAATCTAGCCATTGCACTCGGGGCCGGGGGGGTGGTACTAGCGGTATGACACGAACTTAGTGCGATTTTACAATCTGCCTGGTGCGCTGCGCCGCCCGCTGATGAGATGAGGGTGAGCATTGCGCTGCGCTGCAACTATCAACTATCGATCTCAGGCAACTGATATTGAATGAAAATATTGTACTCAAATACTTTAAGCATATTGATGTTAATAAGAGCGCCAGATCATTAGATCTGAATACACCCATATTTCATATCCAGTTGTGCAAAGCAATTATGTAAACCTCTTTTCATCATCTTTCAAACATTTCTGCGTTTAAGTTTGCGGCTTTTACAGATTTTGTTCTCAAATCAATGAATGAAAACAAATAAGTGAACACTGTGTATAATGATTTTTCCAAAGCATTTGATGAAATTAATCATAACCTATTAATACACAAACTTTGGAGATTAGGTATACATGGAAATTTACTCAAATGGTTCGAGTCTTATATAAGGAATCGTTGCCAAGCTGTTAGTCCGAAGGGTTATTATTCAACTTATTTACCTATATGATCTGGAGTTCCTCAGGGCTCACCTCTTGGTCCAGTACTATTTTCCTTATATATTAACTTAATTATTAATTTTGTTTAGCCTATGATTTGACTAAACTTGATTCTTAAATTTTTTGTTCGATCTAAGCAGTCGTGCATTTAAATTTTAAATTATTTATTTATGATTTTGTGAAGCGTTAATCATGAATAGAGATTACATATTTTAATGTACTTATCAAGACCTTTAATTCGGTACCCATATGGCTATAAGAAAAAACGATACTCTTTTAAAATGACGTCATATAGCCGCCATTTAATATTATAAAAAATAGTCACTAATACCCTATGTAGTTTGTGGTCACTGAAGATGATATAACGTTACTAATGATACCCCTATATACTCATATCCGTTATATCTTTCAAAAGTTATGGAGGTATAATAAACTCATAGAAATACATTAACTCCAATTACAATAGACTCCTTTTCTTGGGCAATCGTGTAGAAATATTTGAAAATCAATATCGAATCACACCATAGAAATACCATAATGTAAAAAATTGGGAAAAAGTTTTAAAAAAAGCTTGGTCATAGTTTCAACACAGTATAGTGGACTAGTGACCTCGAACGAGTTGTGGAGAACTAGGGACGCTTCAAAATAGGTATTTTCAAAATAGAGATTAGGTAATCTCACAGAGTGCAAATTTGTAATAGGGCTCTTGAATTCATTTGATGTTAATAAATTTTTGAAAAAATATACATATTGGTTATTTCAAAATGTATATTTTAAAATAACAGACATAGTACATAACCCTTTTTTAATTGTAACGATAATTTCCAAACCTTTTTGGCACTGAAATGCTTATATGAAGATTATGCACAAGTATATTGGTTGTTATAACCAAAATGATCGGAAGTATTAAATCTGTATAAATGTTATTCTTAATTACAAACCTCATTATATCAAATAAAATTATAAAAGAAAGTAATACTTATTTATCATTTACTCAAAACCTTTTCTTCATATTTTAAATACCAAACTTACTAATGTTAAAGTATATCAATTTTTAAATACTTCCTTAATAATTTTGAGGGCACATACCTATATATATAAATACTAAAGTATTACTGAAATCGGAAACTTGAGTCTTCGTATAGCTCTGCTGTATACTATTTATACACTTAATATATATATAAAAATATTACTGAAAGAAAGAGGTTCGTCCATTATTAATTCGACGGTCCGATGTCAATAAGACCGTGTACAACATACTGTTAGGGTTCAAAATTGAATGTAGTCGGACAAAGCGGATTCATGTTCGACACGGAACAATATTCGATCTGTCGTACAACTAATTTACTTCGTTGGAATTAGTTACATCATCTCAATCATATTAGTTAAGCATCCAATTAAAACAAACAAAATCTTAATACAGAAGCTATTTTTTCTCGTCCGCTTTATATGGCTACATCGGACTGTTGAATGAATACGCAATTTACAATTTTCGATGTGCAGTTCTATATAACCATTAATTAAATTATTGACATGATTCACGTAAGCCTACAATATAATATTTTATTAAAAAAATAATTGCATTATCATCCATCAATTATTGCTCATTTGGCCATAACTCTTCAATAATATGTAAGATGTTTAAAATAACGGACGCGCACCATTTTTCATCGACCAGGCGGATGAAATGAATTTTAGAAATGAGTTTAACATTTTTAATAGATTTCCTAATAGTAAATGGTTTATTACATAAACGCCCCCAGCAGGCGGTACGATACCGTCACTGTCACCTGTTACTCATTTGTAAATCAAATTGGTTTCATCTGCCTGCTTCAAATCGAGAAGATTGTAATCTTATCTATTCTTAAAAAAACTGTTTCCAGGCAAAAATATGCTTAATAGGTACGCATGGGATTGTCACTTACACCTTATACTTACTAAATGAAGTTGATGAAGATAAAATAAAAGCAGCCATTTTTGAGACGTTACTTAAGTCACTTTATAATATTTTATTATGTCATATTCCAAGTAACTAGAATAATCTCTCAAAAAAGTCCGATTTCATTTGCAATTTGAATAAAAACTTTATTGTGAGAGCGGTGGGGTAATTTCATTACAAATACATTATTCCAAATAACTATTATTTAAAAAAAAAACAGATTCACGAAAATGAACGACTTCATTACATTTCACATGACAATATCTGTATTTACATATTTCGACTGCTGCGTTCAATGCGGAGCTTTTCACACTGCACTCTTTCAAAACGTTATCAGTATACTGTTGTCGATTGCATTACAACGTGAGAAGATAGCGTGCTCAGCTCGAGTTTAAGCACATGTAGCGTCATGTCAGACAGGCATGATAAGTAATAAGTAATTTGAGCGAACTTAAATCGCATTTCAATTATTCTGCGTTAAGGTATTCTCTATAAGGTACAACACTTGGGCGGCGAACATGCCCGCCTCAGACTTCGGTCCTCCGAATTTCATCGCGAGATCGACGTCGCAGACGCATTCGGTCAACCAAGTCCTGAATTCCAACATGACATTTAAAAATTCCGTCCTCAATAGAAAGGCCGGCAACGCCACCACGACGGACGCCAGCAGAGATATAACTGCCATCTTTATTTTAGGGTCCGGGGTGTATCTCATATAAGAGAGTATTTGTAAAATCTCCCAACAGTAGCTCGAACATTTCGGGCAGTTTTTCGAAGCTAATATCACATTGCCGACGACGGTCAAGTACTTTAACATCAGAATGCTGTCGACGTCTTGTTTTAGGTTATGGTGGCTCAGAGTCAGTTGTTTACAACCGAATCCAGAGACTAGAGGATAGAAAAAATAATCAGAAACGGCAGCGAAGAGATTTCGTTTCGCATTAGCGAACGGGTGAGGTCTTATGGAATGGAAGTATCTGGTTTTGTTTATCAATCTGCGCCTTATTATTTCCTCGGCGGGCACTTCCTCTGGTCGCTCGGCTCGTCGGACCTGTATGTCTTCCTTGAGTTTGTCCTCGACGTGAGGTTTCAAGTCCGCGATACGGTTCACCGCTTCGGCGAGAACGTCGAGCATAAAAATCTTGGTAGCTATAGAATATCTTCCGACGTCCGTGTGAAACTCTCTGCACAAGTACTCCGCGCATATTCTCGGCTGGCAGCACACCATGGCGACCACAGTATTGAATTTGATATGTTCGAAATCGTCGACGTGGTATTTTCCATCTAGATGAACGAACAAACTCAACAAGTCTTCTGTCAGTTTCCTGTCTTCAGTTTTTAGTTGTTTATCGACTAACTCTTCGGCTACTTCTAAACAAGCCTCGAATGTTTCCGCATCTTTAGCTTCCACTAACATTTCTAATAGATCTCTCAAATAGTTCGGTCTAACTTTAGCAGACACGGAGACATCGTTGCTCATATCGTACGGCTGCAGGTCGTCATCAGAATCCAACTCCTCGGCCTGCTGCTTCTCTTTTCTGTCCCAATCGTCTAATTTGACAGATATGATAGTTTTAACTATCTCTTTAGTAGTTTGAGGTGTTTTCACAGCGCAAGTGACGATCGTATTTTGAACGGGCGCCGTAAACTCTTCATGATCGATAACTTTATTCGCTATCAAATCTAAAACTCCTTTAAAATCAACTGTGTTCGCTTTGTAATTGCGATGAATTCTTCTAGTGTCGTCTATGAGACATTTAGTCACGATTTCGTTCAAAATATTATTGATCTCTTTGCAATTTTCTGGCATGTCGTTGTATTCAAAGTTCAAAGATGACAAAGTTTCTTTATCGGAATTTTCGATTTGAGCTAACGTCTTCAGTATTATCTCGACAGTCGCCATTCCTATGCATCTGAATTCTTGCGTTATCACGTTCAAATGTCTCGTCATACCCTTGAATAGTATATTTTTTATATCGAACAGATTCCAATCCTGGATCTTCTTTAGAACCATGACAACGCGGTATTTGACCGCTAGCACCAGTAACTGAGATATATACATGTGTTGTGGAATATTCGAGACGTTACACATTTTTACATCAGACCAAACAGCGGCAAGTCTCAGAATTAAATCCGCTAACACATCCGGCGCCTTTTCTGACATCGCTACATAATATACTAAATTTTCTTGTATGTTAGTGAGTCTGTAATCTCTCGGTATCATGTAAAAAGGGACCCTGTGCGTTAATATTTCGTTCCAGTCTCTACTCGTATTCAAATTATCACCTAAAGTTTTATAAATGGCTTGTTCTCTACTTCTATAATCTATGGGACATCGGTTGAGTAGCATCAAAGACAAACAATCGACAGCTTGACGATTCAGATGGTTAAGCATAGTTTGTATCAGTTTCCTTCGCACAAACATACTGGCAGAGTTATCGTATGCACACCAACCGATCAGAACGTCGACTAATTTCAAAATGGCGTCAGAACTACCACCCATGTTGTAGTTTATTAACACTTTCGACAGTAAATGAGATATATAATACAAATCATATTGGATCAATGCATGATAGCTGCTTTCGCTCATATAGTCTATCGCACGTAATACGTGAAATACTAGTTTGTAAGAGAAACTCTCGTGTGAGAGTTCCTTGGGAGTTTCTGTTTCTAATCTATTGGCAACCCTCTCGGGCAGTGTTGCCAATAATTGCACATAGTTCTCCCATTCGCTCTGTTGTTGGTATTTCTGTGTGTTCTCTTTTATTTCTATGCTGCTACACTCTAAAATAGCTGTTAAAACCGCATCGCTCTTCACGTATTTGACTAACACAAACGCTATAGCTCGCAATATTTCTTTCTCACTCTCGTTTTTTAGGAAGCCACATAGCAAACTTAATATTTCATGACTGAGAGCAAAACTTTCTTCGACAGTGTAAAGGTGGACTATTTCTTCTTTAAATACGAGCCAACTCGGGAACACTGTCCTCACTATGGAGCTGAGCAGCTGCGAATAGAGATCGATCAAGCCCTCGTCGAACATTTTATCATCAACACAACTCAACTTCTGAACGGTCATCGGTCCGGGGAGGAACGTCACCATATCGTGGCAACAATTTCTTATCAAGTTCACTTCAGTGGCAGTTTTGATCCTTTCTATATCCCGCAAAGTCTCTAGGAAATTTTCGACGGCACGTTGGATACTACCTTGCGACGGACGGTCAGTCGTTACCGATCCTGGAAATAAAAAAAAACCTGAATGTGCCCAAAACTGAATGGATTCGCTAACAGTGAGACGATACGCATGCAGCAACAGATATGTTTTATTGATATTTAAGATTAAAGTGACAATCACATGTGTTCTCATATATATAAAATAATTTAAGTAATAATATACCTTATACACAGCAAGGTTTTATGTATTTTATAAGTATTGATTTGAATAAAATCTTACAGTGTACAATAATAAAAAAAAAAAAACTATGAATATAAGTAAAAATATTTTTTTTTAACATTTATAGTTATGTATTTAAATAGTTCTGTGAACACTAACGCCAAGTCGTAATATTTGCCTAATTTTAAGCAAACACAATATTCTATGAACAGATTAAAGTTAAATTTGTTTTTAGGTAATCTATGGGAGGAGCAGTTTGTGATATTATTCTAACATTAGCAGCGCGTCCTTAATGTTTGTATATTACAAAAAAATTGGTTTCGATAGTTAAAAATATTATTCCACTCGGTGGGATAGTGATTTTAATATTTCGCGTGTAATGTCTGTAGAAAAATATATTCGACTAGTGGACGCCCGCGACTTCGTCCGCGTGGAAGTCGGTATCCCGTGGGAGTGAGAAGTTTTCCCAGTAAAAAGTACCCTATGTGTTATTCTGATGTATAACCTATATTGCTGTAAAGTTTTATCCAAATCCGTCCAGTAGTTTTTTCGTGAAAGAGTAACAAACATCCATACATCCATACTTACAAACTTTCGCCTTTATAATATTAATAGGATAATGTCCACGTTAAAGTTCACACAATATATCCACCGAAAGCGTTAGTATTCGTTTAATTGTGTATGTTGTACGTCAGGTAGATTATTGAAGAATATTAAACACGTATTTTTTCATTGTTTTTCTTATTCAATAAATTAGGGCGATACAACGAGTTGAAATGTCACGGTTCTGTACATTTTCTGCGAAACTGGGCCGGAACGAGCCCGCCTTCCTCAACTATGGTGCTTTTAACTAAGCTATTTAATGTTAAATTGAATAAAATAATACGTTTGCAATATTTTTCTATTACCTGCCTGACGGACTAAACGGAATTTCTTTTTTTTTTTGCCCAAGCACTATACCTAATAGAAAAGTATAAATGTAACAAGTACACATACGCCACCAGCTATGTACTGACCTGGCGTGGCGGCGGGGGCGGCGGGGGCTGTGGCAGGGACGGGGGCGGGGGCGCCGTGGCGGGTGATGGGCGTGAGCGTGGCGGCGGCGAGGTGCTGCGTCACCGCGTCCAGCGCGTGCGGGGCGGGGGCGGGCGCGGGGGCGGGGGCGGGGGCGGTGAGGCCGCTCAGCAGGTCCACGTTGGACTGCAGGGGCCCCGCGCCTGTACACACGTGCGTATACGTCCATTACGTCACATGACGAGACGAATAGTAAGTTTTTCTGAATCTTCCGAGTTTATGTTTATTGACGATTTCTAATGTCGCTCTGTCGCCGGGGGTGGGGGTGTTATTTAAAATAAAGAAATATATAAGGCCTTTAAATTCTCCCCGCATCGAAGCGTGCAAATTATGAAGCGTTCAAAATTACAAGTTTCGAACGTTCCAATACCGGCGAACGCGACGTTCCCCTCGGTTCGAAACTCGAGTGACGTTCATTTTATCTCGAATCTCAGCTCGCGACGAAAAATTAATAAATTTTTAAATATTCAGTCCCACACCTCCGGAAACTATTTTTTAAATATAAATACCTTGTGGGGGAAGCGGCGCGGGGTGCACGTCTATAAACGCCGTGGAGAAGTCCGCGAACCCCTCCGCCGCCGCGGGGGCGGGGGCAGGGGCGGGGGCCGCGGGGGCGGCCACGGGGGCGGTAGAGAAGAACTCCCCGAACTCGGCGGATTGCTTCCTCGCAGACCTCACCTCGTCCGCTCTGTGCACCATACGCGGGATATTACATAACACTTGTCTATGTTGATTACATTATTTTAACGAAATAATAAGCTAATTAAGCTTTTATTTTCTATATAAATAGTACATTAATATCCGAGAAATAATAGCATGATGTGCTTTGTTTGTGCAACTGACAACGCTCCCTACAAATTTAAGGCATTAAATGACGTCACACGGAGCTACGGTTAACGAAAAACATATGGGAGTCAGGATAATATTTATAATAATCTTTGACATTTGTCCATTTATGTTAACAGCTGTTATAATATAAGATGTAAGATTTTATGTTACTATTTTAGTGCCATATATATTATATTTAACAAATTTTTGTAGTATATTTTCCCTATTTTTTCCAAGCTTTCAAACATAGAAACTGCTGTATATATTCCATGGTGTAAACAAGAAAGGATTTTTCGAAATTCAATCCCTAAGGGGTGAAATGGGGGAGTGGTAACGTTTCTCGTATCGATAATACAAAAAACAACGGAAAGCTAGTATAACAAATATATAACCTGGGATCGAAGTCGTCCTCCACGTTGGGCGGCGCGCAAGTCTTGAACAGGTCGTCGAGCAGATCCGCGCTGCCGGCACTAGTCGCGGCACTGGCGGCGCTGGCGGCACTGGCGGCACTGGCAGACTTGCCGTACGAGGCCGCCGCGCCTGTACACACCGACAATAACCTCTATCTATACTCAAATAGGTTCAAAATTAATTACAGAAACAATCACGTCCAATATTGACCTAAACTGTGTCGTCTAGTGATGTGATATAATTCAAAATATAGCTTATTTCTTACTTAAGTATTTCATATCAGAAAATTAAATTTTAAAATAAGGTCGGGATAAAAATTGCAAGGCTGAGGCCTTACCTAACATACCCAACGTGATTCGGACCTAGCTTAACTTTAATGACGGTTTCTTAGGTTTTCTTTCATCTACTAAAAATAGTTGAAAAGCACACATTTACAATATCATTTTTTATTTATTTCTATATTTAATGCATAAATTTTACAGTAGCTTCACAATTATCTCGAGTTGTGACAGCTATTATAACCTCAAAATATTATTTACAAATTACGAATCTCTCTGGCCTCCCAATAAAAAGACGCCAAGTTGTTATTCTCTTATAAGCAAAAAATATTTAAATCATCAATAATGGTCTTTAAAAAAATATATGTGACAGGTCCAATCAATGTATGAAAAATGGACATGATTCTTTGATCTTTTGTAGAAACCCGATGTGTCGATATGAAACAGAAAGTATATGTTTTATGTGTTTAAATGCCAATTAAATTATTATTTGAAATTTCATTCGTTGAAAAGAAGTAAGTAATGTGATCTACTATAAATGAGCACCAACAGATGTAGGAAAATCTAAATCATTAATTGTTTCATTAGGTGAAAAGAAGTATACTTCGGCTTTGTGTTTTCCACTTATATCTTTTCGACGTATATTCGATGAGTACGTATGAAGTAAGTGTATAGTACCGACCGAGATCTATTTTCTTGACGGGCGTGGCGGGCTTGTGCCTGGCGGGGGGCTTGAGCGTGATGCTGAAGGCGCGGGGGCCGGGGCCGGGGGCGGGGGCGCCGGGGGCGGGGGGCGCGGCGGGGGCGGCCGGCGGCGGGGGGCTGCCCGACTCAGAGTCCCGGTACACGTTCTCTCTGAAACAATTATCGAATCAGCTTACTATATTTTAATTTAAAACACCTTGATACTGATGTCGATACCGATTATTCCTTTTTTCAATGACTGAGCAATTTTTGGAAACTGCGTCCGTTAAATGTCATAAACAGAGCACTAGCACCTGTACACTATTGGTGGAAGATGTAATGATTAGCAGAGATTTTTTTCAGCGAAAATTTATTGATACAATTGAAAAGATTAATAAAATCAATCTGAAACACCCAGTTACATATGAATATATGAAAAAGTAATACACACTTGCTTATCTTGTTCGGTCTGTGTCCGTATTCACCGTCCGAATCTGCCCTCTCGTAGTCGTCGTCCTCGTGTCGAGACTCTTTGGGTTCATCTGTAATATTTATTCACATCCTATACAACTGTAAATTGATTCGTATGCTTCAATATGGTAATATATGATTTGACTGCGAGAATAACAAGTAGAAATCTAACAATATTACCGGTAAATTAATTATTAATATCTCGAATAGACGAGAGAGTGAAACATTCACAATCGTAAACTGTAATGACTGATCGCGTGAACAAATAAATAATTGTAGGGGTCGATATAGATATATAGATAGATAGATATAGATATAGATATTTAACAACATCACATACATTGCTCAGATTCCAAGATGAGTAGCTAAAGCCCCCGTATTATGGACTGTCTGAGACAACGAAGGTACCACAACACCCAAACCCGAGTCAATATAGAAAAGTTCATTTTCTACATTGACCCGACCGGGAATTGAACCCGGGACCTCAGAGATGGCGACACCTTGAAACCGGCGTGCGAACCACTCGGCTATGGAGGTCGTCAATATAGTGTACGCACCCCAGCTGCTGCCGCGGTCGCTGTACTCGCCCCAGCCGCCCGCGCCGCCCCCGCGCGCGCCCCCGCCCCCGCCCCCTCGCACGCCCATCACCGCCGCCTCCGACGACATGCCTGCGCGCCACAACACTCACATTACAACACTCCTTCTGACCACATGATAATTTACAATTAAATATCTAAGTAAACGTGAAGAAGAAATATTTTATTATACTTGATCGACTTTACATTTGGAATGCTATACTGGAAAATATTCTTAAAAAATCCACTTTGTCCCCAGTATGGCTTGGGTTTGTGAGTTCGAATCCCATCACAGAGTACCGGGCCCAGAGTGGGTTCTTTTAAGTATTTCACACTATGAAATAAGAAATGTTTTATTACGTTCAATAAATAAAAACTATAAACAGCAGCATTGTTCGCGTCATACTCACCGATATATTTGTCTTTGTTTTTCTTGGCCTTTTTCCTCTCTTCTCGGAGTTTCTCATCGTCCTGAATGAAATCTATCAAGTCTCGCACTTTGTGCCTTACGTTAATACCCTGAAAACACGCATAATGATACCTTGTACATACAGACGAAACGATATACATATAAAAAAGCTCGACTCGAACTGGCGTTACCTGATCCTTCCCGATGTCGTCTACGTACGCGTAATTTTCCAGCGAGCGGAGATCATATATGTGTTCACGGGCCGAGGTCACCACGCGTTCTGAACCATTCCTCACGAGATAACTCAACAGGAGCAGACACTGCAACAGACAATACGCGGTTCGGTGTGTATACGGCGTTCTTCAAACCCCGCGAATAAGAAGCTTTAATTGTGTCATCTACACTATACAGCACAAAATAACGAATAATAAAAGTTTGTCAAGCGCTGACCTTGTATGTACGGCGCCAATGTGATCTGTTGTCGTGCAACATGCGCCGCCACAGCATGGACATGACCTCGGGGAAGTGTTCGTACGTGAAGGTGGCCAGTGCCAACTCCTGCATCTGCTGGCCGGTCGGGCCCCACGCCTCGTCGGAGGTCGCCTCGCGCACTTTGCCCTCCACCTCAGTGTAGTTCATCACCACATTTGTGCTGTAATAATAAAATTATTATTTACATAACATTGTCCTTAATTACAAATGCAGTCTACGAGCGTCACGTAGTCCTGCCGAAAATACATCTTAATAATACAATATCTCTTAACCCATTTAGCCCTTCTTATTTTATTTTTCAATGCATCAAAATTATGTTATATTGAGGTTTTAACAGATTTTTTTTCATGACAGTTGCGAAATGATAAATTAATAAATTATTTTATTATATTAACCCAATATATTAATGATTTTCTGATTATCGATATCAAATTGTGAATAACAGGGCACTTCACTAGTTCAGTGTTGATAGAAGTGTAAAATTGTGTGCATTATATTTTGAAAAATTGTTTTAATGCAGATATGTCGTGCAATAACATTTTTATGTAATGAAACTTGTATTTCAAATGTTTGCACATTAACTAATTTAATGTCTGCGCACAAAATATAATATTTAGGACTAACAAAAATAATTGTGCCGATTTTATTATAGCTAGTCATACATTTTGTGTATTACTGTAAAATCATCTGTATTAATAGGCTAGTATACACTTATTTTGCTGAAAGTTTTGTAGCCAATGGTGTCATCGCTCTCTTTGTGAGCTGAATAGGTGAAGTTTTACGTCTGTGTGATATCTGGCACGCGCGGTCCTATTCTAATATTTGTTATTGTTATTATTCTAACCTTTTTATCTGTTCTGTGTGGGTCAAGGTATACACTACTACAACAAAATGCCTATGGAAATTTTAAACATCCTATTGCCTAAATTTAAAACTCATATAAGGAATTGTCTACTCAGTAAAGAATATTATACTGTAAATTTATATTTAAACAACAAAACTACTTGGTGTTAAATATGGCTTATTTTTATGTATATTAATTTATTTATCAGTGAGCTTGTTTGACTAGACATGTGATTCGATTGACGAAAATACTGTTTTACTTTTATATCTTCTAATATTGTAATGGAAAGTGACTTCATATGTTAATGAAGTCTTTTTCAATCTTGACAATCTGTATGAAATAAAACAAGGAGAAAAAAGCAGCCCTTGCTGTCTTGCCAGTTCTTCTCGGTACAAGATATCTCGGCGTAAATTTACGAACCGATGTCGTAGTTCACGACTTTCACAATTGCTTGTAACAGCCTAGACTGAATAAAAAAATATGATTTTTTTTTATGATATAGGTAGTGCATTTTTCCAGTATTTTCTTCTTTAACTTTCTGACAGTGTCTACTAAGTAACTTCAATTTACATATCCACAAATTATGACATCAGTGAGAAGAAATTTTTCAGACTAAGATTCTTTTGTTTCAATGGTAATTTCAGTAGTGAAAAATAAGTCACGTAATTACACAAAAACTAAAATTTACATTGTAACAAACATAGAGATTCTGACTTTGTGTCTTAAAAATTGCATGATAATCTTAAAATTTGTGAAAAACTCAAATGATTAAAAATATTTATTCCAATTAAAATGTGATCTTCTTTCTAGGATTGTTGTAATTAATATCTGGCAGCACCAAGGATATAAAACAAGAAACCACAAAAAAAATTATAAGAATCAACTATTATTACTAGATATATTGGTACCATATGATTCTTGATACTAAAAGTCACAACTACTTATGTAACATTTATGTTATATACAATCAGTTGCAGAAAGATCCATAAGGTTTAATGACACCTTTAAGCTCTAATAAATGTCAAATTTGTATGGGTAATGTCGCTTTAAACTAATGAAAATTTAAATTGGATGTGATGCCATCTGAGCTCAGTTTCTTTAGACTCGTAGCATGTTTGTTTGTATTTGGAATTCACTTAATCTAATAAAATCATATCTTTCTGCTAGAATTCAAAAAGTAGTAATTAATGAAGCGAAATCTTCAGGGGCACCCATTACTCCTCACTTTACAAAGAATTTGTGCGAGACATTGTTATTTGCTGATGCCACCTCTTTAGTGTTTAAAGTTAAGAGGGGTAATTATTGTTTTGACGATGTAAATGATGCTCTCGACAATGTTCTACAGTGGTTTGATGGTCATAATTTAAAGCTTAATTCAAATAATACAAAATGCATAAAGTTTGCATTACCTAATGTGAGGCATGTTAATACACTTATAATGTAAAAAGTGAAAAAGTTAAGTTGGTGGAATCAACAAAATTCCTTGGTATTACACTAGATTTCCGACTGCAATGGGATCCCCATATTGATAATTTGTCAAGTAGACTGAGTTCTGCAGCATTTGCTGTTAAGAAAATTAAACTCTTGACAAATGTTGAAACGGCAAGCTTGGTATATTTTAGTTATTTTCATAGTGTAATGACGTATGGTCTATTGTTGTGGGGTTCTGCGGCTAGCATACAAGAAATTTTTATTTTACAAAAGAGAGCTGTCCGCGTTATATATAATTTACAGTCTAGAGAAGCGAGACGGTCTAGAAATATTTAGAGAAATAAATATTTTGATTGTTGCCTCTCAATACATATTATGAAAATATTATGTACCTAAGAAAACATTATGATTCCTTCACAAAAAAAAGTAGTGTTCATAATCTTAACACCAGAAATAAAAATAAACTTGCCGTTCCAAGCTTCAGACTTCAGAAACCAGAGGATCATTTCTGGGTAAATGCATTGCTATGTTCAATAAAGTTAAAGGAATAAATATTTTGAATGTTGCCTCTCAATACATATTATGAAAATATTATGTACGCAAGAAAAAAATTAAGATTACTTCACAAGAAAAGTAGTGTTCATAATCTTAACACCAGAAATAAAAATAAACTTGCCGTTCCAATCTTCAGACTTCAGAAAACCAGAGGATCATTTCTGGGTAAATGCATTGCTATGTTCAATAAAGTTCCACAAAATGTAGTTGATCTACCCATAAATAAATTTAAAATTCATGTAAAGAACATACTTATGAGTAAAGGCTATTATAAAGTTGATGATTATTTTAAGCATCACAATGCATGGACTTAATAGCCTTCACTTTGTTCTATAAAGACTAATTATATGTTCAACCTATGTCCTACAGACTTTGAAAGTTGTATTTATTATTGTGATAATACATATTATTTTGGTAATGACATGATTTATGTAAATGTCATTACTTATGATAAAAAGCTGGTAAGTTTCTTTCGCTTGTTCTTCTTGTCAGCTAAAAGATGTCCTGAACAAGTGGTAGGGGAAAAAAATTTTTTTGGACAATTCAAAAGTGCTTGTAATAGCCTACTTGAATAAAAATATTTTCATTTTTTCATTTTCGAATAGGACTCTTAAATATTCAGTTTAGTATATAAGTATATTCATTATGTGTTAGTATTAGTAGTTTGAAACAAAACTAAAATAATTTTAAAGTCCCAAGATATTGTCTATAACGATAATTAGCAAATTGAGTGAAGGTAAATTCATTAAACATGTGGAACAAGTTTATCAAACTTGCACAATATGACCTTGATGCATTACTTATGCTAGTTAACGTAGTTATAAAATTCTCATTGAATATAGTACAAATAAGCAATTTAAAAATTATGTAAATTATATTAAATTTAAAAACAATTTCCTGTGATTATATTAATATATTATAATAATTTAAAAGGGATCCAGTTTATCAAATAATGTTTGTGTTATGCAAAAAAATCAACAAGCAGCACCAATTCCAAAATCTGTCTGAAAATGGAGATTGAATTTATTACCAAAATAATCTGATCATTGCTAGTTTACAATAATTTGCAACTGTAGCTTTAGTCCACCCAGAAACACACTTGAAAACATGTAATTAAGTATAGAAACAAAAAAAAAACATTTGAGTTAAACATTTGCAGAAAAACAAGCTTCTATTTAAATATAAAATAACAATACATCATATTTAATGCCCAGACAAAAACAATCTAACAAACAAAATTACAAAACAGAATACAGTGAGTGGCATGGCAGTTAATAATCTTAGAAAGGGGTGAATTTAAAAACAAACACTTTAACATCAGACGTGCATTAAACAAAATATCAGTAGAAACAGGTACACTTTAACCTCTAAAACTTTATAATTAACACCCATCATAATGATAAGATATTTGGTGACAAAACTACTTTCAGACAAATCTACAAAAGTTACCTTGTACTATGGTCGTTCAAATATATAAATTTCGTAGTATAATAATATTCATTTCTTGAAAAAAAAAAACTAATTAATTTAGTTTTAAAATTTAGTTCTTACTCCAGATGGATAAAAATTTGCATCAAAAAAGAGGCAAATTGGAGTGGACTTACACTTTGTCCGCTAACTCCCTCACTTTCCACATACTAATAAAACGGTCCATTTTCGCTTTATATTAATTACAAGAGCACTTTAAACAAAATATCACTGAACTATTTTGAGAATTATCATAGAAAATTATTTAAAACTGCAAGCTGATGATTTGGCTGACATTCTTGCAAAATGGCGACAGATATAGTCAATGTTGCCAACTTTTCACTTTCAGTGTTGCCAACTAGTGTTTATACGTAGTATTTGAATACTATTTCACTCGGTACGTAAGGTATGAGTATGAGTCCTGTAAATTGCTAATCAAATTATTTATTAATTATTGAAAAATTTATAAGTAATCCCCAAAATATTGTTTTAATTATTTTATAAATGTTAGCTAAATGGAACGGAAATATCTTTGATCCATTCGTTTCTGGCAAAAATCAACTTTTGCTAGATACGCCATCTTCTTTGTTTTTATTTTTAAATACTTCCTCATTCGGTGCTTCATTCTTCATTTCAAACCCCAAATTAAATAAGTTGACTCAACACTAATGTTGACATATAAACAAAATAATATAAATTTAAAATTGCAGTTTAATAAAAATAAATTGAATATCGAAATTTTGCAGTTCAAAATTTCGATATTCAATTTACTTTTATTACGTCAGAAAGAAAATTAAAAATGTATATTAGTCGTTATCCGAAAATTGCTAGTGACATCTTATTTGCTGAAGAGAACTTTTTTAAATTTCTTTCATTAAAAAAAACTTTCATATTGGTATAATACTTGATGCCAATAGAGGTCTAAAATATCTCAATATTGCGAACTTTGTAAAATTCTATTATGTTACTAATGTCCAATGCCTCACGCGACTGAATATTCCCTCAAATTAACTTAGTAGAGTTGGCGGTGGCATAGTGGTCTTGTAAAGCAAATTTCGAAAGGATTCCTCACGGAATTGGTGACCACACAATTATTATCTCAACCTACTCCTTGCTGAGGAAGGCAGAACATCACGAAAAAATTACAAACAGCAGTCGTCCGACTCTGAATTAGGCCAACGTGGAGGGTTTTCATAAACCATCCACGTTATCGATCCATAATCCTGGACTTAGACCCTGCAGTAGGGACATAATAGGGCTGATGATGATGAATTACTATTAACAATAGAAGCCTTATGGGATGGGTGCCTCTTTTAAACCATCCCAAGAATGATTGAAAGGTGTCCCTAAATAAACAATGAAAATAAAGAAAATGAAAAGTATGAAGCAAATACATACATTGAATAATTGTAATTAATGTCTTAGTATTTTAGTTATTCATGTATGTACAGTTCGACACAAGGAAGTAGAAAATGAGGAAGTATTTAAAAAATAAAAATTAGTTCTTGAAATCATACTAGATGTCACTCGCGAGTTTTGGATTTTGTTTATGATATTTATTCAAATTTTATTTCTGACGTAATAAATGTAAATTGAGTATTTTCGATTAATAAATATGACATCGTTTTGTGTTTCTTATAATGTCTCACTTTCAAACTAATTTTAATTTATTTTAATTGTAAGTTTAAGTTGTTTATTATGTTACGTGTAAAGGAACGATGTTTGGTTGATACGTCAACATTAGTGATGAGCCAACTTATTGGTTGCTCGTAAAGCTGGAAACAAATTATCGGACGCGGCTGACGGACGCGGCTGTCAGCCGCGACTTATAGGCATCTAGGTAATGAATGTACACTAAGCTGTTCAGACTATCGGATGTAAGTCGTGGACGTAACCTTGGGCTGACCTTCAGCCTTCGGACGTCCGACAGGAATCTGGCTCGCTTGATGTTTTTATCAGCCGAAAACGTCCGCGGACGGTATGCACGGGGTGCGGGACGCGTCCTTGCATCAGAAGGACGCTGACGACGCAAGAGATTCCACGTGTCCACGTGCGTTAAAAAGGAGGAACGAATTATATAGTGTGTTCGCAACAAAGAATTACTTTATAATCCTAAATTGAAGGATTATAAAGATGTTATAAAAAAACATATAGGAGTACGAAACTGTGTTGATTGTTTTTCAATGTAGTTTTCGATTAGATTTAGCAAAAAATTAAATTGATCCTCATTCATTCTCAAATAAAGTTTATAACGACATTCATCTCTTAATAATTGTGGATACAAAGTGTGAAATTCATCACACTTTATTTATGTCATGGACCCAAACGTGGATGAACTTCTTTTTATTTTCTTTCTGGCTGGACAACATAAAGCTGCTGCCGCTAATTCGAAAAATTCGTCCTCAGTTTCATTACTCGACATGTTTCTTCGTCAACAGTTCTTAGTGGAATAGGCATCGAAACATGTCCGCAAGCCACGTCCTTGAAGACTGTACAAACTTATAAGTCGCGGCTGTCAGCCGCGTCCGTCAGCCGCGTCCGATAATTTGTTTCCAGCTTAACTTTCGTCGAATTTAGGTTTGGAATGGAGAACAAAAATGATGATGAAGATGAAGTGTCATTATGCATCCACAAAACGAATGATATTAATATAAATATCAAAATCAATTCAATCTAGACTGTTACATAGTACTTGTGAAAGTCGAAAACTTTACCAATGGTTCGCAAAACTAAGGCGGGAGATCTCTTACTGACAAGAAACGGCAAGAAACTCAGCAAGGGCTGCTTTTTTAATTTCAACTAAAAAACTCAACTATACTATATTTGAGGGATCGTAACCACCTAACGCACACGATACCACCGCAGAGATTTTAAGAGACCATAACAAGTCTAGGTACTTAGTAAATAATATATTTCAATAAAACGGATTTCTAGAGTAGGTTGTGTAGGAATTCAAATTATTATTAACAATATTATTGTAAGAACCAAAAAGAACAAACCCGCCGTACGAATTAACTTAACACATGGCTCGACGTCCGCCGTCGACATGCAAGATCAGAAGCATTATAATAACTGTACGTGTCTTTGACATTTGAAATTTAAAGTTACAACCTTGCTGTTCGTTTAGAGCAGACGTTTCTTGTTAATTGCTGAATGTTTATTAAGATGATTTAATTATGAATATAAGATTTAATAACTGATAATAGTTTTATAAAGTCTTAATTTCGAAAGCACAAGTTATTTGCACATTACACTTTGCACAAACGTCATTTTAGCCAGCAGTTATGTTATTTTGTACGAATATATAGTATATTTGATACATATCGGGTAAGTTTATAGATAATAAACGGATTTTTCTTAAAAATTATTGTTTTTATGACTTTTGTTGCTGATTAATAAACCCTATTCATTCATTCACCATACATAATATAAAAAAAATATTGAGAATTGATGTAGTTTTGTTGTTGTAAGTTCAACAAACAACTAATAGCAATAAAACTAACTTACCTAGTTGTTATTTTTTCAGAACTTTTGTTAAATACTAAAATGAAAATTCCTAGACCTACTATGACATAAGTACCTATTTTATTTATAAAACGTAATATTATTGTATACCGTAGTTAGATGCCACTTTTAATTATATCACAGCATTCAATTGATTTCCATAAATTTAAAAAGCCTCTGTGCTCACTTCCATTATGTTAGTTTCCATTTTCCTCTATACAAATAAAAAATAAATTTATTCAAAGATTACTTTGTATTAATCGAGTTGCGATTGCATAACTCGAACTAGTTAAATTTCAACTTGATATTAATCCAAGTTATCAGATCCATAACAACACTAACAAATCTATTCTCTTTGGTTTAACGTCATGAATTGACGTTTAGATCCAACAATTTGTGCTGCCATCTAGTAACATAATTTTTTGTAGTTTCTTTATTTTTTTTAAATACTTCCTCATTGAAGAAAGGGCATCTAAAATTATTTTTACTAGCAACACCAGACTTTCCATACCATAGGCCCACTAGAATCTCATGGCAAATAGGGAAATTAAAATTTGATGTATGCCACACCTTTGTGGCATACGTCAAGGAAATTGGAGTAAATGATCTTGATACTTATAATAACATTAATTATTTAAATTGTAAAAGGAACATGGAAATTTTGATTTGTACGTACATACAATAGCTTTAATGATTGATTCACGCTATTCATTAGTGAAAACTGTATAATAATCTGAACAGTTTTTTAGTTTACTCATTAAAAACTACCAAATAAAACTATTACCACGTGATGAAAAACTTCATGACCACATGATTTTAACATTTGATCAATTTCGTATACAGGATTTGACTGATTCTTCTGGACAGCTTCAATTAGTTTGCATTTACGCCACTTATCCTCAAAATGAATGTTGTTTGCAGTAAGCCATTCTTTTATTTCAGCAACACGATTAACTAGTGTGGGTTTGTTAAGCTGAACGGAATGATAACTTGCGTTATCCATCACAATAATTGATGGTATTGCCATATTTTGGAATAAGCTTACCCAGGGCTTGGAAACCGGTTTATTTTTTTAACCGGTTCGACGTAAGTACATGCGAAACGTTACATAAAAGGTTCAGCTCCTTCGAACCGGTTTTTAAACCGGTTCACTAACCGGTTTAAATATGACTCCAGACAATGATCTCACAAACTTCAGCGCGGTTTTTAAGTGCCTACACTCCTATCTATAACATCCGTAGATAGGTATGATAAATGTCGTCGCTTAAAAATGATATAATTCGCATCAAAAGTGTAAGAACATTGCTTTTTACGAACCAAGCGAATTAACCGGTTTTTATTCTATCCGAATTTCACTCCGCATTTAGTTCCGATCCGGAACGGAACATTATAATAGAACAGGTTTTACCTAAATAAAAACGGTTTATTCTGAACCGGTTTCAAGCCCTGTCCCACTTCGTGAATTTTTCTTTTTCATGTCGTGGTGATAGTCAGCAGACATACATTTTGATTTATATATTAGGCAAGAATTTGCCAAAGCCGTTTTTTCCACCGGCGTTAACAAAGAATCCACCTTGCTTCCAGTGATATAGATTTAGATGGACTTGCAACGTCTTTGCTTTGCCAGCACTTGTTCACGGAACATGAACCATGAATATATGTTTCATCTAAATATACAACATCTAATTTGTTGATTTTTTTAAATACTTCCTCATTGTAGTTGTTGTTGTTGTCAAATAGTTCTAGTTTACTAAACATTAGGAATAGGAACTTAATAAAAAAAACAAAATCTTAATATTATTAAATTTTATTTACTCTCTGAATCAGAATCACAAGAATGAATTTTAGTATCTCTCTCGCCAGTTAGAAAAAATAAGACTTCTTCCCTTTCCTTAAGGATCTTTGTGTTGTAACACGTAGATGCTGCACGATTCATTTCCGATCGCTAGCTACTTTTGTATGCTTTTTTGGATTTGAACGTTAAGACATTAACATTTATCCTACATTTAATTTGATGTGGGAAAGCTGACTAGGTGTATACATATATAAACGCGCTTTTGCTTGAATTAACCAATGATATTAATTAACGCTCTTATCTAGTTATAACGCTTTTTACAATACTTTTTAAAAAATAACAATTTAAATAGTAATATTGCCACAACAAGGGCTGCCATCTTCTAATATAAAAAAAACCTGACTCTGTACCGTATTACATTTGGCCCTTAAAGTCAGATTTTACTTTCTTAGATAACCAAATGTCCCTTTTATAAAGCTGTGTTTATAAATGTGTTCAAATTATTTTCCATTCTATCATCATTTGGCATTTAGGCAAAAGCCATACAAGCCAGATGTATAAATTTTAATCTGGACAAAGTCTAACAGATGACAACCCTAGCAATAAAGATTAATTTAAATAGTCATACCATGAATATTACACTTTTTACTTCATATTACATATTTCACCTATTTAATAATTTTGAGTAGGATAATTCATAATTTATTAAAAAAGTTTTGTTTCTAATGAGTTATGTATGTACACTCATTAGAAGGTCATACATCATTTTTTCGCAAGCGGATCACTTTGAGGCTGTGAACCATAGTATTGCCATAACTCAATTGCTTTTATTGCAATAACTTCTTCATACTGTTCTGGAATCTAAAAAAGAAATAAAATTAAAATAAACTACAAATATAATCGTCTAAACCTTTTTTTTTTCTGGATGTTAGGCTAATGCCTCCTATTTTTAGCTATGCAGATAAGTTATCATTGCTGTAGTATATGAAAAATATAGACTGATAATTCACCTCCGAAACACATTTCAGAATTTCTTCTACTGATGTTGCTTTCAAAATATTACGTCTTAAAGTTATAACTAGCATCACGGCCACAAATGATAAGATTTTCGGTGCCCCACTGCATAATTTGTCCCAAATTCTGTAATATAATGTGGAGTGATTGATTATTTACACACATAACAGTAAAAAACTTTTTCAACATAATTTATAATGGTAATTTTCAAAATCAGTTTGAGACTTTATCAATTATTACTCACTTAGCAAGGGATGTGTCATCTAGAATGCCAGCAAAACAGCAGTTATACCATTTTACAAGGGGCAATTTCTCAAGAGCATTCAATTCAACTAAATGACTGGAAAAGTAATTAGTTAATTTACACAAAACAGAACATTAACAATTAATAAATTAATATTCAATAGTTTGTTATAAATTAATATGTTAAATTTGAATATACTTATATAGCTCCCCATCTTCTTTCTCCAGCATACTCTGGAATGCTTCATTTAGTTTGGACAAGTCTTTCTGCATTGCACAAACAGCATCAGTTAAGCTCTTAGCAAACCAATACACGTCCACTTCATCATCATAAAGCTCCAATAATGTTTCAGCTATTGGCACAAATGTGTCTTCTGACTAGAGTAAAGTACTTGTGGTAGTTAATGAAATATTGTTGTAAAGAGGAAGAAACTTCAATAAGGGAATAGTATTTTACTTATGTAATACTATTAAACTAAAGAGTTACTAAAAGAAAAGCAAACAACTTACTGAGAAATTGGTTTCTTTAAAAACAGGTGGTTCTCTCTCTTCATTGTCAAGAAGCCACATCTGTAGCAGAATCTTACTGCGTCGCTCTTTCAGGTCTACAAGTTCTAGCATTTCCACAGCATACAATAAGTCTCTGTATTGATCTGTTCTCTGCTCCATCACAAATTGGTGCGAGTCAGGATAAACAGGCAATATATCTGAAAATATAATTGATACTTATAATGTATGAACACTAAGAAAATGCGAATGAATATCGCTTAATGTGTTATTATTAAACAGATTAATAACATCAATGATTTTCAATGAAGCCAGAATTTTTGGAGCGAAATTCACCAAGTAAAACTTTCCATACGAGATTCCTGTACGCGGCAGGCACTGTGAAACGTAGACAAAATTGTTTCAGTTTCATTTTATCCCAAGGTTTCTCTTTCAATAAGATTTCTAAGGACTTCTTTTCCTCGACACCTCTGCATCCAACTTTTTCGTAGTACGATGACCGAAAATTACGTTCGTCTGCCATTTTTCAGACTTAATATCACTATCTAAACATGAATTATTTAAGTAAGAAGGGATTTCATTAATATTATGGTTAAACCTAATTTTTAATTTTCCAAAAATTGTATATTTTTGTTTTTCCGAAGGTAAACTAGAGTATTATTGTTCTGTGAGGTAAACGATCAATACAAACAAAGAGTAAAGGCTTGACACTGATAGTGACATGGACATTTGTGATTGCGGTCTTTATGTTGTGATGCCCCTTATTCCGTAACTTCTGAGGATAACCGAAATAAATTGTTCGCAGAGCTCTATGAGTACGTATGGGTAAAGCATTAAATACTGAGTCTCAGTAAATACTGACTTTCAGCAAATACTGAATATGTACTGTATTTGATGAGTTTTTACTCTTTAGACACGGTAACTTCATTAGAATGATAAATCTTGACTTAATAATAAAATTTATCTTAAGTTTGTCTTAAGATAAATTTTAACAAAAACATCCAAACTTATCAAAAAGAGAATAAGATTAATTTCAAAGTCATAAAGACACGTAATAGTCATGCTTTCGATGGTATTAGCTTCTATGGCGACGACAGGACGTTGTTCGGGGTAGCGTCGGAAGTATGGAGTTAAATAAAAGGTGTCATGTTAATGAGGAAGTAGGTATTAAGAAAAAGGAAGTCTTTCCGTTCGTTTTAACTAACATATAAAAAAATAGAAACTTGCAAAATTCAAAACTTAGATATCAATACAAATACAAAAAAGTACAAAAAATATGAGTTGTTTATTGAGTTTTGAAAATTAATTTACTTTTATACATGAAAGAAAAGCGGAATGGTCGTCATAGAGAAATCATTAAAATACCGTTGCGACATCTAGTTTCATTTCGGGAACTAATGTTTTTTTAATACTTCCTCATCATTACCCATTAGATTATGTTATTGGAAAACTGCTTAATTGAAAACGAAAGCTACTTTGTTTCATAAAAATCGGAAAAAATATAGACTAAAAACATAACAAAAATCAAAATCTCATTTTAAAAGTACAGTGGCGTTGTGTAAAGTGATCACTAGCATCATCGAAATGTAACATTTTCGTGTACATAAACAACATGACATGCATTTAAATGAGCGGCAACAATTATACCGAATTGAATAACTAGTTAAATAATTTCACTTCTATTAAGGTAGTTTCCATTTTCCTTTGTATAAATAAAAAAAAAGTTAATAGAAGATTCGTTTGTATTAATCTAGTTGCGATGCGTAACTCGAATTAATTAAATTCCAACTTTATATTAATCCGAGTTATCACATTCATAGCAACATTTATGGTATTTACATTATATATACTACTTTGTTTGACGCTATTGAATAAGTTGCATGTTGTACTCATCCTGTTCGATAATAATTTAATAAAGTTTATTTCTTAGAATGTGCAGACAAAATATGTTCTGTTTGAGTAAAATAACGCAAAGAAAAATGCAATATGTTTAAGAATTGCGCCCTAAAAACGCCCTTTAATTGGTTGTCGTCGCAACTAATGGTTCCGTTTACCGGCGTGTGACATCACCATGGCATCACCATGTCAATGCGTACGGACAATTATATGACAGCTGATCTAGCTTAGAACCCCAGTGCTAATCATGGTTATCTGTCACATGGCGAATCATAAAGTATAATATAATATAAGTATAGTAGGTAGGTATAAGTATAATAGGGGTGAATAGCTCGTGACGTCACACCAAAATTTTGCCAAGATATTAATCTATCCCTTTTTAATGTTAGTGTTAATTTAACACGCTAATCGTACTTAGCGCTTAACGCTGTTAAGTATTTAGTATTTACGGCTATAAAAAAATAGCGTGTTAACGCGCAACGATCATTAACCTGCGGTCGAGAAGGCAGTGTTCGCTAGTGATGTGCCAACTTAAGTTCAAATCGAGTTAAAAGGATGAAAGTGAGAAAATGATTTAGTTTGTTTTTACCAATTTAATGATGAGCTTGGTAACAATATTTATAAAATAGAACAGATTAAGCGGTCCCCATTCATATTTATATATGAATGGGGACCATTATAATTAATTAAAGTAGGTATAATTTATTTAAAAAAGAACTTTATCATGTATTTATATATTTTATATAAAATCTGTGACATAAATACAGTACCTAAGTATTTATAATGATTATCAACTAAACTAGCTATGTTTAATTTTAGCAGTCTTCACAAAATAGTTCCTTTTAGGTCTAGGCTATTTTACTATGCAGTACTTAATAATTTGAAAAAATAACAATATAACAACCGGCACTCCAAATATATGTATATAACCTGAAATCGGTTGAGTAGCTTGGTGGCGTAGTGGATAAGCGCCGCGGCCCGCGATCGTAGTCGTTAAGCAACTTTCGCAAGGGTCGGTCACGGGATGGGTGACCAAAAAATTATTATATCGAGCTACTCCGTGCTTCGGAAGGCACGTTAAGCCGTTGGTCCCGGCTGCATTTGCAGTCGTTAATACCCTCTAATCCGCATTGGGCCAGCGTGGAGGGTCATGACCCATCCTCCTTAACCATCCATAAGGAAGGCCTGAGCCCCTGCAGTGGAGACGTAAAAGAGCTGATGATGATGATGATGAACCTGAAATCTGTAACGATGATGTGTTGTTGTGGCATAGCTAATGAGTATGTATGTATAGACATAAATGATCAGCAAACTTCGCGCCATGTCAGTGTCATTCGGCTGATGCGCTAGTATTCAAATTCGAGTCAGAGAGAATTCAATTCAAGATAAGCCCGACTCGAGTTAGTACATCGAGTTGATACATCACTAGTATTCGAATGGATGCGAACGCTAATAGATACATGAACTATTTATTCTCGCAGCACATTTAATACAATCGCGCGCGAATCTTGCTTCAACGTGAAGGTGCGAATGGTAATGGACGTGTTAACGATTTATTCTTGTAGCATGTTAAATATAGTTTAGTTAGTTAATATGTATTTTAAATTGTTTAGATTAAATTGCGATTATCTGAACAAATAAAAAAATATGTTAAGTAAAAAAAAATGTAAAAATATATAAACTTGAATATGTGTAGATAACAAATGTACGTAGCTCATTTACTTTTATTTCACGTATATTAGAAGAAAATATTAATAAATTATTGTTTACTATAGCACGCGCTCAGTTCAAAGATCGACATGTAATAAACAACGTACTACGAGATTTAGTGTATTGCTCGATTTAATGTGTTTGTCGTGCATCCTTTTTATTATGGGTATGTTCCGATATACACTGCGACCACTGAACAGTATGACGTCAATTTAGTATACTGGAAGCCCGTTCCTTTATAGCTAGTTATACTGGTGACTTTTTAAAACGGAACGCAGTCCAGTATACTGTTAATCCTATTTTTTGGCGCCATTTTCAAATTTATTAATGCAAGGTGAATATAAATATAAAGATTCCCTCTTTTCAAAAGAAAATTGGAAAATTGTATAAAAAAAAAATTTATCAATTAAATCCATCTTATAAATAAACGTAAGAATTTTTTTTTGTTTATTTCGAAACTTATCATTTTCTGATTCTGTTTCGACTGATCACGTGATCAAAAGCACTGCGAGCACCTTACCTAGAAATCTCCAGTGCTCACAGTACAAATATGGCGGCAATTTATGACGTCATAAATTTCCCTAGGGTACTGTAGCAGTGTACTGGCAGTCCATAACGGAACGGATTTTTCAGCAGTAAGACCACTGCGCAGTGCTCGCAGTGTATATCGGAACATACCCTATGTAATGAGGTTCCCGTTTTAGCCTAAAAATATGCTATAGATAGATAGAATATTTTTTTTGTACAAATAAAACAAAAACATTTGGGAATCGTGATCATTATTGCGTATTCCAAATATGAATCATATGCAAAAGTTTTGAAGTCGCTTAAGCCTGTTAAGTTTATGTAAGATCAAAATAGCTGACATCGGCATAACATAGTCAAGAATGGATATCAAATAAAGATTGCGTGAGCGCAATTTCAGTGGCAGTAGTTAAAAATTGCGAAGTCTTCTTAACTTCAAATCCATTCAAAAAGCGCATCCCAATTAAAGTTTTCATCAAAATATACGCCCTTCTAACATGCTTACTAAACTGCAAAGTAATTAACACTTCACCTTTCTAGGTGTTTTCATATATTTCTATGAATTATCTATTAGACAATTATCAGTAATTTTATTCTAATGTCACAGATATTTTTAGCTATTGTATGTGAATAATGCTGTCCGCAAATTACTAAGGGTATAAGATTTATATCCGATAGTAGTAAAAAAAATGCTTTCGTCTTGCCTCAATTTATTTTGGTTTATGAAAAATAATTAGGTTATTATTAAGGTATCTTTTTACATCTTCGAACACAATTACCGACGTTCCAAAAATCTTATCGTACCTAGGGTAAGTGACGTATTGCTTCAAAGAGAACTGCCCTACACTGCGCCGCTCCGATCAGGAAAAAACGGAGAAGTGCACATGCTACTCATCCGGGTTTTTCACGTTATTCCGGACCGGAAAAAATCGGACCGCCGAACCTGAAAATTCAGTGTAGTGCACAAGCGCCCTATGTGTTTAGAACTTCGGGTTTTATAAATGTATAATCGATGTAGATTTTATATAATAATCGATTTTTATGATGAACCCTTCATGCACAATTGTACCTGAAAAGGAAAACTTAATGCCTGACATTAAGTTTTCCATTCTCTATTCTCGTTAAGGATTCTCTACCAGTCAACCTTGGGACAAATACAAGACAAATAAGTAGTATCTCGAATCGTCAGGATTCATTTATCACTTCACCTGTAATTAATTGGCAAGGTGTAAAGAAAATCGATAATTATCACTTTTATTATTATGACTTTTTCTCGAATAATTACTTCTCTCAATTAAAGATACTAATACAAAAATCCGAATAAGTTGTTAAAACTGTTAATAATTATAGTGAGAAAAAAAATTATGACCGGGCAATACTGTCGTAAATTAGCTGTGGCTATGACAGACGGACAGACATCTGCATTAACTTATAGATATTCAGTTTTACATTTGAAATACGGATGCCATGTAAGGACGAGCGCACTTGTTTAGTTTATTTATCAATTAAATACGAGTACAACAATTACAT